TTGAACCCGATAACTGGCCTTGTAAAACTTAACTTTGATATACCTTAAACAATGAATTAATAGTCGAAATGTGAAGGTCATAATCCGTGACAGACACTCTTTCATTCCACTTTTTTGGTTATCCTAAGAATGGGCCTTAGGTTTCAGCATTGATAAGGAGAATCACTATACACAAAGAAGAGTCCTATATAACAGTCTGTGCTCTTTCTCTCAGTCATAAGTAAAAAAACTTACAAATTCGTTCTATAAAGATAAGCTGCGGCTAGCTCAGTTAACGAACACAGAATTGACAATCGTATATCTTTCCCAACGTTTTGGTGCTGTACTCTGGCTTTTACTGTAATGTACAAACTCCAGCTTATAATACAAAAATAAGGATTTAGTCAGTCTCCTGCAAATGTGTGCTTTGAGTAGTCATAATTGGCAATATATGCTTGAAATTACTAAGGAATTTCAGTTTTTCGTTTCTACTAATGTTAATTCTTGCATATCAGAAATAGAAGGTAAAAGCTTACAGCTCTTGTTCCCAAAGGCCAATTAGATCATTCTTACATGTCTAAGCCAAGATGAGTATAAATTGTTTACCTCCTAAAAGTTGAAATTCAGCAGAGGTTGCCAGTTGAAATGATGCGAACTTCAGACAAGGGTCAGTCATTTGTTTCGAGATGGCTTGTTTTAACTGTCTTAATCTGCATAATTTCTTGCCAGGAAAGATAGTTGGAAGTACTTGGTTGTCAGTTGAGAAATCTTTTATGTACCAATGAGCCAGTAATAGAAGGTAAGATCAATGCTGGAAAAGTGGTCTCCCTTAGACAGTCATTGTTTTCACCACATAAAACAGGATAATTGCCCTAACCGAGCAAGTCTTGCCCACAATTCGGAATTCACACACATCTGCCAATTTGTGAAGGTTCAACGAGAGTTCAACCTCCCAAAAAGGAAAAAAAAGGAAGGAAAAAGCAGGTGATTCAGCCAAAGATAGCTCAGCTCAGCATCCACACACTCCTTAATAGGTTTTATCAAGCCTAATAAAACAAAGCCAACAGAATCAAGATTAGATTGACAGGTAAACTTGCGAGCGTATTCATTCAATAGATATCACAGAATTGTATGTACTGCAAGAATGATAGAGTCAACTTCATACTATTTACATTCCAAGTGAATTTCAGTAGAGATCCTATGCATCTTGTGATGATCATGAAACAGATGATGAAATGCATTTAGGGGAACAAACTTCATCCGGAGCTACCAAATGATCTTTGAGAAATTAGGTGCTGACTAAGGAGCATTTTACTTTAAGTTTCTGTTGCTGTGGCAGTGGAGTCTGGAACGCAACCTTAATGCAGAAGAAAATTTTTTGGAAAGCATAAGATTTCCTTTGCTCAACTTTCGCTTCCATATTCCCTTCCAATCATGGGTCCATGATGATTTTACCTCATCCCCATGTCTCCGCCAATAATTCCACACCATAGTAGACTAAATGGTCCACGGTGATCATCCGTCCAGAAATATTCCCAGTAAGAAAGGACTGGCATTCTCTAAAGCAGAAAAGCCGGTCTGTCACACGTCTTATTGCAAATAGCATGATAAATCCACAAAATAAATTGCTTGTAAAAGGTAGCTCGACTGAAACTACCTCTTTTACCCCGCTGCCCGTTGGATCTTCTTTCGCCACCACAACTTCCTCAACCTGATACACCAGACTACCAAATCCTCTATTATACAGCCATACCTACAACAAAAGAAAGATTCCAATACATGTGCACACTAACATAGAAAAGAGTAAGATTATCTCATCAAATTATTTCCACATTCTCCCATCAATCATGTTAATCAGCAAACATTATAGAGCAAGTTGTCTCAACAATTATAGGCAATAGTAGACATACATAATATCAATGAGTAATACCATAAATTGCATAGAGGCTTTAAGACTAGGGTCATCATCCATCATTGAGGAGGGAGAGAGTAAATAATACACACTATCATGTCATCTTAAAATTTTAGAGTCGGTACAAGAAACTCATGATAGCTTTACAAGGAAGGAGACCGAGTTCCTTAAATATTATCAAGGTCATAGAGCTACTACAAACTGCCCTGCTTGTTAAGAAAACATTGGAAAAGTAAGACATCTCCAGTTAGATAGGTTGAAAGAATGCAAAGTAAACATCAAATGCAATCAGAACAATTCCCATAATATATCTGATATTCATCAAGATTCAGTCTGCTACCTCCTCTAGGAAGTGGTGGCGCTATGTTTGTGGAACCAAGAATAGTATGGAGACAAATGAGGCACAACATGTATCCATTAATATAGGTAGTGATTGGCATTATTTGCTTCGGTCAATAGTAGTAAGATACAGACGTTGCATTTTCCAACACCCAGGGTTGTCCAAATGTCAAAACCTGGACATTCTGTGCTTCCTGATTGACCTGGAAATTAAGTGTCCTTAGTTATATAAGTAAATCAAGTAGTGATGGTCTGGAAAACAGCTTCAGCACACACAATTAGACAGCCAAGGTAACTTCAATGTTCAATACTTTCACGAGGGAAAAACTAATATGCATCAATAACCATATATTTGCCACATACGAAGGTGAACGATAGATCAGCCCTTTCTCTCCATGAGCTTTGGAGGTTTAAGCATTACTCTGTCTAGATCCCGTCCATAATTTTCCAAACCAAATCCACAACCACAACAAAACCAACCCCACCCTCACCCCAAGAAAAGGTGTTAATAATATGGAATAGTGGGATTGGGGGTGAATTTACAACCAAGGTGCATTTACATGCTTCCACAACAAGCACTTGGATGTTGGCGGGGTGAGTCGCATCCAGCTAATGACATAAACAAAAAATTCAGGTTGATGGTGAAATTGCCCTTGAACCCCAAAACTTACAGTCATTGATAGCGAAGGAGAAACTAAATCTTAAAAAGGGCCATGACACATAGAAGGGCCACTGACGCTAGGCATTGATGTCACAACTGGCTCAGAACACTTTTCAGCAAGGAAACCAGCAAAAAAATGACATTTAAAATCATCTAAGTGTTGGATAAGATGTACAGTTGCTATGAATACTTGAAAAAGGTTTAGTCTAAAGCTCAAGCAACCGATGATCCTATCCTAGGCCACATAAATGTCTGTATTATCTGAGTCAAGACAAAGTTTGACCCTAAAAAATCGCAACTTTTCATGGAGAAGAAAATTAATGGGACATGACTTTGGGGTGTTTACCATTTCTGGTACCAGTTCCACAACAGGTGCCTAGAAATCTCTAGACCACTCTATCCAATGGAGCTGAGACAAAGCATAATTGACATTTTGGGTGGCTCCAGCCTACAACATATCTGGCCCGTAGTCCAACAAAAAAGGAGCTGCTTCTTTTTGGTTATAGAGAGAGACAGACAGAAACAGTACAGAACACAGATTTAGGATCAATATATTCTAGTTTAAAATGCATTAGCACTTCAAGGTTACATGACATAAAATTTGAGCTTCAAGTGCTTACCAAAGTTTATATATCCAGACTATAAACATATCAATAATTCCATAAAGTTTCGCAAATAAACTTTGTAATGATTAGTTGGAAGTCTTTATCCACTATATTTAGGCATTCAACCAACCTTGAAGCTCCATGGCTTAACATGTAAGACTCAATTCACACAGCTAAATCGTCAACCATAGGTGGTTCAGGTAAAGGTTGTTTGTAACCCATTCTGCTTGTGTTATGTCTACGGGTTGATTTACCCAAAGAAAGAAAAACAAGATGCTGACCAATTGATAAATACAAATATGAAGCCATAGAAAGTTCAAGATATCCAGAGTCTAGACTCTTCAGGGCAGAGTTGGCAGTGAATTCCAGGTAACTCTTAACAGACCAAAGCTCAAAAAATGGAAGAACACAATAGAGGAAGAACCAATATCTGAACCATAGCAATCTTTTAACGATCTTACCACAAAGATCAAGTCTGCGAAAGGATGCCATAGCCCATCCCATAGAATGCCTGTCACCATGACATTGATGTCTCCATATAAATCCTTGGCTCTTTTAACAGCATCCAAAGTACCAGGTCGCATCGTCATATAGTGATAAGCATAATAAATCCATGATGAACCTAAGCAAAGACAATAGAATAAGATTGTAGCTCGTTTCCAAACCAAGAAGTATCCACAACTTGCAAGAGGCTTATCATCTCTAGAACTCACCACCACGACACCACGCATGCCGGGGTAGTTTAGGTCGAGCTATTTCCAGATGAGATCTTCAACCCAATTCTGTGTGCTTTAGACATAAATAAGAAGTAATCACTAATCAGAAAAGCTCAAACAACTTTTCCAAGAACAATAATATTAGTGAGTATGTGATCCTCATGACTACATCTAAAATTACAAGCACATAACTTTCATGTCTCGGTGGAAATGATTCACTGTTTTCCACTTCCTTATGGACAGCAGACCCATGGGCTTTGTGTACGCATTCACCGGAGGCTACTCTTCTTAGCTTACAATTTTCAGGAAATCCTTCGCATGTCAAATGTAAGAGGAAGAATTGCTAAAGTTAACATGCATTCCTTTTTGCTCTTGAGTACCTTTGGAAGCTACAAGCGCAGCATTAAGGTCCTGACTTCTCCAATATATGCCTACAGGTAACATACATTGATTAGAAATAAAGACAAACAATTAGATGAAATTCAAATATAGAGGCATCACAAGCATCGCAAATTGGTAAACCACTGCGACATGGATTATATAACTGTATGCAGTGCTGGACATCAACTATTTGTTCAATGACTTCGAACACCTGCTTTCAGATAAAAGGCATTAATAACCAGTCAGAAGCTAATAAGAAGGCAGCATGTGCCCAATAAATCTCATCTCAAGAATTGGCCATTTAGTACTGAGGACCTATTCTTCCAAGCAACCTTAACTTAACAATGTCATATTAAAACAAAGTCAAATTACCTTGGTCTTTCCATCAAAACTAGGACATGTCAACTAAAAGTTCTGTCAAATCTGACATGTAAACCTGAAAAATAAAAAGCTTTGCATCTAGTTACAATGTTATTGTATTGAAATTGGTGAAACCTGAAGGTAATAACAAGAAGCTCTAAGTAAATGGGAAAATCTTTCTAAAGAACACTTACAGCAGATGCATACTCCACGACCATCGTCACAAGAGCGTGATTGAAAACAGCTTTATGAGCCTTGGACCTCACTCAAAGTTCTGCATTTACCAGTAGAGAAAATTTCAGATTGAAAATGCAGTCATGAGCTCATTCAATTACAAGCAATGAGGCAAGTTTCTTATGTCTCTAGCTAGCTATTTCGACAAATCAAGTGAGAGGAACATAAGGAAACATCAACTCAAACCAATATTTTCAGTATATATCTGCCGTCCTTAGTGAACTTAAAGAACTAATTTTATTCCCAAAGCGAAAACAGCAGGATGAAATTTGTATCAGAACAAATATGACCATATTCCAGACGTAGCATTGATCCAAACTCGGTAATCCAAGAGCTCCCCAACAGAACTAACCAAATACAACACAACACTGTCAGTCCTATGCTTTGAAAACATCCAAATCGTACACCCTGAGGGATCATTCAGCTATAGTCTGCCCCATTCAATCAGGCACCACAGCTCCACAGCACAGTCAACTATTCCCCCAACCCTGAAATGCCTAATCAGCCAAATCATTAATTCAAATCTCACCGTCAAGCTCAAAGCCAACCCACTCAATACCAGGGCCTGTCTATTCTCAATATCAAAACACCCAATCCGAGTTGAGTCAGAGGGATCAGGGCAGCAGTAACTGATGCCATGAACGCGATTACAATTACCTCTCGCCCCACTCCACTCGCTGCAATCAAGCGTTGTCAGAACATCCATCACTCCCAACCACGACCCGTTCCCGCTCCACATTCTACGAGAGAATCGGATCGAACAGCGTCATCGAGAAAAAACCGAAACCGCGCCACGGGAAAAAATCCGATCTCTGCACGTTTCGCATGCGCGCACAATTACACGCGATCAAATGGCGCGATCGCGCAGCAGATAGAGAGAGATCGATCGCGATCTTTGTCCGCATTGCTCGAATTCGAACCTCGATTCCGGTCTCGCAGGTTCGTGCGGATTTTATGGCGATTGAAAGCCACGGCGACCTGGGGGCAAAGGAAGGAGAGGACGATGAATTTTACTGGTTTTTTTCCTGATTTGCCCTCGGGATCTTCTTCTGTTGAATGGCACATCCGGTGATTTCGTCGTTTGCGTGAGGGGCACCGAAGGAAGTTCAGCTAAGAAAATTCAAATTTGGGGGAGTTCTATCTTCTCAGTTCTCTCTCTTTATGGAGCTTCCCTTTGGTGTCTCTCCACGTTAGCACTTTGACTCGAGCTTAGTTCAATTGATTCTGAACAACGCCATAAATTAAATAATACGCCCACGTTGACGAGAATGGCGAGGCCGAGTTGGAGGGCGATGAGGTTTGATGTTTGCCTTCGCCGTATTTTTACACTGGATTAGTTGGAATTTTGGTGCCGGATCCGGATTCGCGGATCTCTTGTTTTGCTTGCTAGGGTTGCGGGGTCAATTCAGGCCATAAGGTATCCTGGCATTTTGTGCTAGGAAGTGGACATTGTGCTTCATGTTTGAATACAAGATTTTAAGAAGTTTTGGAATGAGCATGGGATTTCGGATCGAGGATGTCGAGTTAGGGGACACTTCGAGTCAAGTTGCTATTCCACCTTAGGATTTTCTAGGATTGTTTCACTGCGATTCGATAACCGCAGATTCGGGGCATGTGAGTTCGAGCGTCTGGGTCGAGAAAGGAAGATCCGTTTATCTCTTGATAAGGTTCAGAGAAACGACTCCAAAAGACTGCCAGTAATCTTCTGTTGTGTTTTAGCCTTGAGAGAATGACACGTGCTTTTTTGGAAAATTTTGGGTCCCGTCTTCTTCCCTCCTTTGGAGCTTACCTTTGATTTCTACACATTAGCACTTTGACTCGGCTTGGTTCAATTAGTTGGTTCAAACTAAATTCTAAAAAAATATTCTAAATTAAAGTTAATATTATTTATCTGTTCATTTATATTCGTGGAGATATGTGAAAATGCAATTACCCCATTATGGTCTACAAGCTCTCTCTCCAGTTAAATTTTTCAAATTCATGTTCGAATCGATATAATGACTCGGGTTGTTCAACTCAAGTAACCGACAAGTTGAGGTTAATTGTAAATTATGGAACCCACTTCTCTTGAGTTGAGAGAGAGTTCGAAGGCAACTTGCTATTGGGCATCGATTCTAAGAATATCTAGGAATACTTTTGTTGAATTGGATCCAATATTTCCCTACGTTTTTCGGATAAATGTACCTCCGGTATTTTGGAGTTGATTAAGCTTAATCTAAAATTTACAAAATATTTATAGTGTGAATACAATTGGACCGATCCGTTTATAAGATGATGGCATTGTCATCCCATAATTGCTCGGTTGATATATGAGTCGTACAATTATCGAGATTGAATACTTCACTTTACGTAAAGATTATTAAATGAAAGAAGAAAAAGTCTATAATCTCTGAGAACAAAAGTCATTGGACTTTTTCACCGGCTATGTTTGAAGTAAAAAAAAAAAGTTTGTAACCTCACACAACAAAGTCACAAATGTCGTTTAAAAAAATACCAAAGGTGCGAATGAATTAGTCTTATTTTATATATCGCAGTTGACTCACACAAACAAAATAAAATAAAATTCCCCAATGTGCAGTATGCGCGATGTTTGAGTGGCTCTCACGGATTAATATTCATAGTCAAATGTTTATAAAGCACAGAAAAATTAATTTTTTGAAACAAAAGGTTGAAGTTAAGAAAAGTGAAATTCAAGAGAAATTATTGTGGAGTAAATTAATCAATTTTGTAGAAATCTTCCAAATCTCTTCCTTTATAGGCAATACTTAAATTATAAACACATCAATCCTTCATTTGATTTAATTCAAATTTTATAAGCACAAAACAGATTTATAGAACAATCATGTTTTGATCAGGCTCGTACTGCCGCTCGTTTGCTATGAAAGAAGAGCAAAAAAAAGGTGAACATTAGAAATTCGCAATCCAAACCCAAGCATGATAACCCAAATGATGAAGGGATCACGCTATCTCCCATTGATTCACAAGTTGTAATCATGTCATGGCGAACCTCTGGCTGATTAGTATTTTTTAAGGAGTGTTTGCAATGCTTTTGTTGAAGGATTTTCAAGCCTTAAACATATTAGTTACGATGATTAATTCACAAGATGGACTGAGTGGTTATGGCTCAAACAAGACATTTTATAGCGAATATAACACTTTAGGATAACACAGCAAGTATGGATAATCATATTGATGATTTCTTCTCGCTTTTTAATTTATCAGGAAAAAAAAAACCGCAACCCATCGGGACTCGGGAGTAGGAGAAGGCCAACCGGACCACCCCAAATCATCGAGCTAGTCCATCTTGCCGATGGCCAGACAGGACTCTTTCGCTTCTCTGCCGTCCATTTCGGACAGGCTCAATCCAGCATTACCGATTCCGACTCTCTCCTCCCCCTTTTTAATGCCGATCCACCACTTTCGATTCGATTCGGCCTCTCTCTCTCTCTCTCTCTCTCTCTCTCTCTCTCTCTCTCTCTGCTCTCTCTCTCTCTCTCTCTCTCTCTCTCTATTTCTCTCTCTCTCTCTCTCTCTCTCTCTCTCTCTCCCTAGAACAGCGATGATGACCTCAATCAATCGATGGGTCGATCTCCGCAGCAAAGGTCTTCGTGTCATGCCCGAACTCAAACAAGCTGCAGCGACATCCCCTACGCCGAATTGAAATGATGCGGCGTCAGAACGCCATCCAACCCAAACCACAAACGTGAGCCACATGGAAGCGAATAATGAAAACCCCGGACAAATAATGGCGACGGGGGTAGAACAACGAACAATCAGCCCAACCACATATTCATACAGCACCAAATATACAAACATCATATTACAGGACATAAATACAAACTAACATCCTCAATCACCGTTTAAGCAAAGTTCGGGGTTTGGTTATCTTGACTTCACTATCGGATAACTCCAAGTTATACAACCCCCTAAAACACCTAGGGAAAAACCTAGGGTCAAGCCTCTTCCATTACGCCCACGAATTGCGGCTTGAATCTGCCGGAGACTCACTGCGCACTCCGTCAGGCACCAACGAGCGGCTCCGGACTTCCAAAAGAAAGGGCGCACTTCCCGGGTTTAGGGGCCGGGTGTCGGAGGTGGCGGTTATACAGCCGTGAGACGAATCTCAATAAAGTGTACAACCTCAAACCCCAGCGTAGGCACTCCACGTACCGCTCAGACAGAAAACACGCATAACATGCAACGATCAATCAAACTACCAACCACACGAGAACCTACCGGAATTCATCATACTGCGTTCACATGCGTTAGACAATAACACAATCAATATACCACGGCAATAAAAATCACGGATGCGCGTGTCTCAATTATAAGATAAAACCCACTTGGGCACGTCATCTACCGGTGCTTATAGCAGTTTTACCCCATAATTAAGCATGTGAATCATGCGATGGCAAACACCCACTCGCACACCACTCACACCATGCGTCACTTTCTCAAACCTCGCTCCTCAAGCCAATTCCCGCTCATTCTCAACTCTTCCCGGCTACCGTGGCGTAAAGCCTTGTCAGGCGAGACGGTCTTCCTAGCGCCAAATCGGGCATCGTCACCCGGCGGGCCGGACATCGATCACCTCGTCGGGGGCGGCATCGTCCCGCTAAGCACACGCCTCGGACGAAATCCACACACACAGTTTCGCCTTCTGCCTTGCTACAGCAGAAGCGTCCAGCGCATCAGGCAACGGTCTTCGACCACGTCGGGCATCGACACCTCAAGTCGGGCGGAGCGTAAATCACCTTGTCGAGACGGCGGCATCGGCCCAGCGTAACGTCTGGCGCCAGCCTCAGACGGACCTTTCCAACGAAACCACATTTCCATATCCTCGTTCCACTCAAACCACACTTACGCCGGTAGCCCGGTACTCGCACGGCCAAACACAATTCCACATTGCATGCACATTTCACAATTCACATACACTTTGCAAATATACATTCTCACCACACGCCAGCCACACCACACAATCATACACATATAACCATAGCGATCCCGAAGCACTATCGCACCGTTCTTGGCACGCGAACATATTAACTTAATCCCTTGCTTGCCTCACCATCACACCTCACGGCCACACACGTGACATATACAACTACGTACACAACCCGAAACACAATCCCAAATCAGCCAACTACCACAAAGGCTCGCACAATCAACGCACAAAATTCCATTCAAGGCACAATCCCAATAATTAATCGCACAAATTAATCCCGATCAAACCTCAACATCACAGCCCTAATCAAGCTCCTAAACCTAAAAATTGTTCGCCTAATCAGTCCCGCAACCACAAAATAATCGATCACTCAAATCAGTCCCACGGCCTCTAAAACAATCACAAAATCGCCTCATGGCCGGGTTCTAAATGAGCCTATAGAAATACCCGAGCTCCTAGGTAGTTTTGGAAGAGCATACCTTACCAAAAAGGTGAGACAACAGGGCTGGAGGCCCGGAGCCGAGACAGCAGCAGCAGCCCAGGTGGCGTCGCCGGCCGCGTACGGACGGCGTGAACAATGATACCGTACGGACGCATGATGAACAGTACCACCCCGTACAGACACTGTACGAGACAGGCTGGGACGGTGGCCGGCAAGGTGCCGGTGACAGCCGCGCGTCCGTACGGTCCGCGTGAACAGTGATCCGTACGGACGGTGAACAGTACCCGTACGGACACTGTACGGACGGTGCTGGGCGGCGACGTATGGACGTGCTGGACGGCTGGGTGTCGACAGAACGGCGATCGGAGCTCCGACGGTACTGTTTTGTAGAACGGGAAGAGAAAAAAGAG